CCCTGACAGTGCCACCATCTTGAGAGCAAGCGTTCAAACACATACGCCTGTGAGGAACACCCATGGAAGCCATAGCAGCTACTCTGCAATGGATACTTGTCTTAGGGTCTTTACTGCTTTGATGAAACACCACGACCTAAAAGCAAACTGGGGAGGAAAGGGTTTATTTGGCTTACACATCAGCACTGCTGCTCACACTGAAGGAAGGCAGGATAGGAGCTCAAACACGGCTGGACCTTGGAGGCAGCGGATGCAGAGGCCATGGAGGAGTGCTGCTTCCTGGCTTGCTCCCATGGCTTGCTCAGTTCACCCTTCTTATAGAATCCAGGACCACCTGCCCTGAAATGGCGCCACCCACCATGGGCTGGGTCATCCCTGTACGATAACTAAATGGGAAAATGCCTTACAGCTGGATCTCATGGAGACACTTCCTCCGCTGAGGCTCCTTCCTCTCTGATGACTCTAGCTTGTGTCGAGTTGGCACACAAAACCAGCCAGTACACTACCCTTTCAAAGGTTACCAAGATCTCATTTCGTGTATTAATCTCTTCTGAATTTTTAGTGAACATAGTCCGAGGTGCTAGGGGTACAATAAGAATAAGTCCAAGTCCTAGTTCTCTGAGATAATTACTAGAAGAAACATTCCCAATCAACAAATATATAATATGAGGCCGAGTGGTAATAAACTGTATATAGAAAACTAAAGCAGAGAAAGGAGATGGTGTGGAGAGGACCAATGTGTTAAAGAGACCAGAAAAGGCTTCTATGATCAGATAATATTGACCAGAGTTAAGTCTTTAGTGAAGGAGGAGTCCATGGGAAAAGACCTTTCCAGACAGCTAAGCCCGAATCCTTGAGGGTGCATACTTTACATATTGGAGGAACGGCAATGTGGTGATATTTGTTTGTGCTTTAGCGCATAAAGCTTTCCTGAAGATCAGAGTGTGGAGCTAGCCACACGAGTTAGCCATAGGGGTCAGCAGTGGTAGCACACACCTTTAATCCCAACACTCGGGAGACAGAGGCAGATGGATCTCTGTGAGTTCAGGGCCACCCTGAGCTACATGAGATTGAATCAGTCTAAAAGAGAAACAGAGCCAAACCATGGTAGCTCACACCTTCAATCCCAGGGAGGTGGAGTCAGGAAGTGTTATGACTGGGCAGAGAGAGGAATACGAGGCTTTGAACCAGAGATCCGCCTGCCTCTGTCTCAGAAATATTGGAATTAAAGACCTATGCCACCACCGCCTGGGTTATTAATGTTTTATTTGAGACAGGGCCTCTTTGTATAGCCCTGGCTGTCCTGGAACTTGCTCTGGAAACCAGGCTGGCCTCGAACTCAGAGATCTGCCTCCTGAGTACTGGGATTAAAGGCATGCACCTTACAAATCTTAGTCTTTAAATGATTCATTGAAGTTGTAATAAAATGTGATTTGATACACATACTCTTTAAAAAGTATTGTTTTTAAAAAAGATTTTTCTCTAATATAAACTTAGATGTCAGAAATAATGCCTTTTGTCATCTGTCTCAATTTAAGCTTTAGAAAATCAAAGCATTTAAAGAGTTATATGTTTGATCTTTAATCTAGACCTCCTCCCTCCAATTTTCAGCAATCCTCTGAAGTGAGAGGATTGTGGTCAAGCACGAATAGACAGCTGTTCTGCCTAGTTAAAAGAAAAATCTATAAATTAGTTGAGTTTTTCAGATTTAGATATATTCAATGTCACCTATGAAGAAGAGAACCTTAAGGAAGTGAAATACTGCCTTGGAGAAATTTCTTCTGCATGGACCTGGGCAAGAGCTCCATGGAAACAGACTGAAGTCTAATAAAGGTCTCAGCAAATGTCCATATTTTCTCCTGTTAATTCTTTGAACTCAAGATTTCTGAACAGATAGTCTACAAATGTTGACTTCTAACGCTAGCACTACTGACTTGTCTGTGATCGTCCTTGTCTCTGAAGCATTGCTCATAAAGTAGATTGATGTAATGAGCTAACACACCTATTAAATTATTAATAACGTCAAGAGACTAACTGTGCTGGCCAGTAGTGGCAAACACATTTAATCCCAGCACTCGGGAGGCAGAGGCAGGCGGATCTCTGTGAGTCCGAGGCCAGCCTGGTCTACATAGTGAGTTCCCGGACAGTCAGAGATACACAGAGAAACCCCGTCTCGAAAAAATAAAACACCACCACCACCACCAACAACAAAAAGAACCTAACTGTGCTTATATCAAGATGAAGCACACATACTATATACAGTTAGGCAGCGGACTTCTCATGCACGATGCCCCCAGTGTGATCACAGCGGCACACCTCACCAGCTCAGTTTCACACCCGCTGAAATGAAGGGCAAGAAAACCTGGAAAAGCACAAAACACTCATTTTTACATAAATTCTGCAACTACGGTAGATCAGTTTCAAACTTATTATCATTGTCCAAGCTCACTGTCACTCCAACAGGTGGTTTCAATGCTTAGGAATGCGACTTTGAAACACGAGGTCTTTCAGGAAGCATTTAAGTGCCTGCTGGGAATAGATAGAGTCACAGAAACAAAGGGGAAATGGAGCTGCCTCTTCCTGCCTTTAAGGGGAGCAGCTCAGGGAAGATTCTGGGGAAAGAGAGTTAGAGACCTGTGAACAGGAGCTATGAGAGGAAGGAGCAGGGGCGATCACTTGTGGGCTATGCAGCTTAAGAAGCGACACGCTGGGAGTAATATGGGAATTATCTTAACACTTCCGGGAGTTATGTCTTGAGCATTCGGGGTTTCTCTTCCCCATATCCTCCATCCATCTACAGTGTAAAAGTATCTGTTTATGGGTAACACTGGGCACAAATATTAAGTAGACCTTAAGCCATTTTCCATAAATCCAAAATCCCTTCCCTGTCCTTGTCCTCAAAGCACATTTAGCGAGCGTCACCAGCAGGAAATAGCCTTCACCAGATAGGTGCCATGGAGAGACAGTAATGAAGCAACTATAAAAAAACACTTTCACCCCTAAGATCGAAGGGAAATGAACAGCAAATAAGAGTTACTGAAACCCAGAAAGCTGTGAAGAAGAGGGGTTTTCAGAGAAAGGAAAACAAAACAATGTACATTGTAGAGAGCTATAGCTACAGCCAGAGACTCAGAAAGACGGGAAGGGACCAGCTAGGCACACCCCATCCCTCTTTCCTGTGCACTGGTCTCTCTTCTGTAGTGCCTCCTACCAGGTGAACCAACCCAGAAACTAATCTGCAAAAAGACTGCTCTGTAAGCAACAGAGCAGCAAGGCCCTAAGGAGTCAGCCAAAAGGCAAACAGGGAAGCACGGAGCAACAGCCTTGCTTATATTTTCCCACAGATTATCCAACTACTCATAAATCTAGTGGTATCACAGAAAAGGCCTGGACTGAAGACGAAAGATCTGTGTTCTGACTGCTATGTGAGCGCTACTAATCTCGCTCTCTCCCCTTCTCCTCTTTTCTTTCTTTTTTTTGTTTCTTTCCTTCCCTTCCTTTCTTCTTCCTTCCTTCCTTCCTCCTTCCTTCTTTTTTCCTTCCTTCCTTCCTCCCTCCCTCCCTTCCTTCCTTCCCTCTTCCCTCCCTCCCTCCCTCCTTCCTTCCTTCCTACCCTCTTCCCTCCCTCCCTCCCTCCCTCCTTCCTTCCTTCCTTCCTTCCTTCCTTCCTTCCTTCCTTCCTTCCTTTCTTCCTTCCTCTCCAGTAGCTAGTCGCTGCAAGTATGCATCACCATATCCAGCTGTTCTATTCCCCAAATCACCTGGCACATTTGTGAATTAATACACAGATGATCTGAAAGATTTCCTTCCTAGTGGGTGCATCAGTCAGCAGCTTAGGTGGTCTGGTCTGAGTTCTGGAATTCTCCTATGAACCTTCAGAAGCACCAACACCATCTAGAAAGCAGTTGCTTAGGGCAGAGAAGAGGAGCCTTCTGTCACATAAGGACTCTCATGTGTTTGTGGCAACACAAGGCTTCTGCTTCCCTAGAGACACAAGATCTTTAAACTATGAAGAACTCAAGGATTTTGTTTGTTTTTGTTTTTTATTTTAATTTTATTTATTTTTATGCACATTATTGTTTTGCTTGCATGTATGTCTGTTTGAGGGTGTTGGATCTCCTGGAGCTGGTATCATATGCACTTGTGAGCTGCCATGTGCTCTTAACCACTGAACCATCTCTTCTGCCCCAGAACTTTTTTTTTTTTTGGTTTTGTTTTTGTTTGTTGGTTTTTGTTTCTTGAGACAAGGTTTCTCTGTAACTTTGGAGCCTGTCCTGGAACTAGCTCTCCACCAGCCTCTGCCTCCTGGGATTAAAGACATGTGTGTCACCATCGCCCAGCTTTTCTCTTTCTTTCTTTCTTTCTTTCTTTCTTTCTTTCTTTCTTTCTTTCTTTCTTTCTTTCTTTCTTTCTTTTTTTCTTTCTCTCTCTCTCTCTCTCTTCCTCTCTTTCTTTCCTTTCTCTTTCTGTCTGTCTCTCTTTATTTTTTAATCAATGAATATTTTCTACACCCAGTAAACAAGCTCAGAATCTGCTTTGTTTTTCTTAGATCTTCTCTTACAGGTAGACCTTGGAGTGGAGGAGGAAAGCCATCTATTGACCTGGATAATGGACCCACTGGACTGTTTGACATCCCTGGAACTCCCACCACAGTCCAATGAGATTCACTGTTAGAAAAGAAGAGAAACAAGGAAAAGCAAGGGCATAGCAGAAAAATAAGGAGACATCTCTCAGAGGGAAAGTGAGGAAGTTACAGAGTTTTCTAGAAAAGCTTGCACACACACAATACACTCACATACACATATACACCCACACACTCACATATACACACTAACACACACACTCTGGGCAACAGGTCAGCTGCTCCATTTCCCTTCAAGTCTTAGGTGTAGTAGGCCTGCAGATTTGCCCCTGGCCTTTCTGTAGTTTGCACAAGTTTAGGAATTAGCCATTATGGGTTAGCTCTGGATTTGGGAGTACAGAGCACTTGGGATACTTACGGGCATGGCTGTGCTGCACCCAGGGTACTGTGAGGAGAAGGAAGAGGAGCATCATTAACCCCAAGTAACATCCTTTTCTTTCCAGATTCTTTTACTCCAAGTGATTACAGGCCCCTGGTGAATCTTTTGAGAACCTGTACTCTACCGCTCACCCGGAAATTTGGTAATTGAGCAATTCAAAAGGCCTTCTCCAATAAGAACAGGGAAAGATACCTGGTATCATCAGTTGCTAGGTAAGATAGAGACCTACAAAATGAAAGCAATAAAATTTAACCCCTTGTTGGTCCCAGACACTGCTTGCTCCAATCCATCAGCTTCTTTCCACCCAGTTTCCAACTGTTGCACAATTACTTGTAAGGCATAGGGAAGCAAAGATTAATAACTCAGATTATTGCCTTTGGTTCTTTCTTAGAGTTTAGATTTTTTAAACCAAAGGACAAAGAACATGACGCCTGGTTTCCCGGATTTGGAACTCCTTGCTTGGTCTGATTTCCCCCATCCACCTGTCTCATACAGCCCTGTAATTTTTACTTACATCTGTCTTTCCTCTACTTTTTCACCTAGAACAACAGGCCCCAAACATGAGGTTGAAGCAGGAAAACAGCAATCTCCAAGAACAAACTGTAGTCACACTGCCGTCAGAAGCACGCGGCAGGTTAGGAGACAGCAGCTGAACTTGTTCAGGGCAACAGAGCTAGACAGGAAAGAGGAAGTGCGACAGAATGGCCAGAAGAATGGAGGCAAGGCAGCAAGCAGGCAGGCTTTGGCTCTGGTCCAGGCTGTGGACCTGGGTTTGATCCCAGCTCTCTCACTTGGGGCAGAACCTCAAATTACACCAAGGCTGGGCCTCTTTCACTTCAGAAGGAATCTGGCGTGTCTTCCACAGAACTGTTGAAAGACTAGGTGAGGTTCTGTTTATCACGCATATGAGGGGAGTAGAATCAAACATCCTGGTTTTCTGCAGTGATGAGTTGAGTGACGGCCTAGCCCCATAGCTCAGAACCTGTGCATACAACAGCCTGTAATGTGGCAAAAAATATGCACCACCACTGCCTGGCTTAGTCACCTAATTTTTGCTTTTTAAAAAATAGGACATTTTTAGCTGTCTTCCTTTTCCCACCATAGGGAGTCTTGTGGATGCAATTGAATTAAAGACATCAAGGAGGAGAGATGAACCTGGGTTATCTAGTAGACACAGTCTAATCGCGAGTTTTGTTGTTGCTGTTTTTAACATGATTTTTTTATTGATTCTCGGGGAATTTCATATCATGCACCCCAATGTTGCTCACTTCTCAGTTCCTTCATATTTTATATCTGTCCCTCATCCCTACAGCATGGCCCCCCAGGACCTCTAGAGAGAATGCATGCATCAATATTTGATATTTTTTAGCCCATAAGACCTATCTTCAGAACTTTGGCCTCCTGAATTATAGGAGAGAAAATTTATACTGTTTTTAGCAACCTAATTTTTTCTTTGTTTGTTTCGTTTTTATTTTTCAAGATAGGTTTGCTCTGTGTAGCTCTTGCTGTCCTGGAACTTGCTCTGTAGACCAGCCTGGCCTCAAACTAACAGAGATCCACCTGCTTCTGCCTCCTGAGTGCTGGGACCAAAAGTGTGTGCCAGCACTCTCTGGCTTAGTCACCTAATTTTTGCTTTTTAATAAAATAGGACACTTTTAGCTATGTTGTAAGGAGGTCACTGGTTTGTTTCCGGCTGCTCAGCCCCGAAATAATCACACAGAAACTATATTATTTAAATCATTGCTTGGCCCTTAGCTTTAACTTCTCATTGGCTAACTATTATATATTAATTTAACCCATTTTTATTAATCTGTGTATCACCACGTGGCTGTGGCTTACCAGCTAAAGTTCTGGCAGGGCTACATGGCTTCTCTTTGACACTGCCCTTCTTTCTCCCAGCATTCAGTTTAGTTTTCCCTGCCTCACTAAGTTCTGCCCTATCAACAGGCCAAAGAAGTTTTCTTTATTAATTAACCAATCATATTCACAGCATACAGTGGGGAATCCCACATCATAGCTATTAAGCTGGGGGCATCCCCAGCCCTCTCGCACCCATATATCCAAAAAGCCTGGGATGATTGGAAGCCCTTGGCCTGGCAGCTGCCCTTGCTTAGACTCTAAATCCCAGGCTGCCAAGCAGTGACCCCTTCCTGGGGAGGGTCAGGATCACTCCCCCAGGCTATTTAGGATTGTGACAGAAAGAAGAACACGTGGTTTTTGGGTTTGCATGGATCCCCTCTGTTTCTCTTTCCCTTTCCATGCTCTCCTGGCTATCTGAGAGTGCAACATTTATTAAACATGAACATTTTAATTTGGCTAATCTGGTCTGATTGGATTTCTTTGCGCCAGTGGAGTGGCTCGTCTTAACATTTTTTCCTAACAGTAGCTATGTCTTCATTTCCCCACAGAAGGCCAAATGAAATTATTTGAAGGCTACTCCTTGGGTGTTTGTATCTCTTTCTTCCTTTCCTTCCTCCTTTTTTCTCCCTTGGTTATCAATATAGAAAATATAGGTACCCATGTGTCCCTCTCAGAGACCTCCAGTTATTGCTCAATGGTGCTTGAGTTCCATGCCAATGTATTTGTTTCTTTGTATTTTTTTTCTGTTAATAGCTTGTCCCCCCAAATGCATACTGTACTCTTAAAAAGGAAGCATGAAAAGAATGGGTAGGTTGAAATCATTTTATTCTAATTGCAAATTAGTAAAAGGCAGGAAGGATCACCCAGCAGAGAATACCTTTCCTGGTGTAATGGATTAATAAAAATTCTGATCCCTGAGTAGCTGCAGTGGCAGAAACACTGCAGGTCCCTGAGTGGCAGCAGGCCACGGGCTCTGAGAGCAACCAGTCCCAGGCAGGGACAATGCATGAGACCATGCAGCAGGTCTCCAGAGGTGGCTGGTCCCCAGCAGTGAACCATGTGGTGGCGGGCAAGAGACAGATGGATGGGAAGGCCATGCAGAGTGAGGTTGGATATTTATTTAGTAGTTATGGAAGGGAAGGGAGAAGGGGAGAAGAACAGAGAGGCAGAGAGAGACAGAGAGAGAAGGGAGAGAAAGAAGCGGTGAAGGGGAGAAGTGGGGAGAGGAAGAAGCTGCCTCTTTGAGAGGGAGATGGAAAAAAGAGAGACTCAGGCTGGAAGCTGAAGATCAACCTACCTCAGTGGATGGGGAGGGAGTGGGCATGGCTTGTCTCTTAAAGAGACAGAACAGATGATTACATAATTGCTGCGGATCCTGGAGTAGCTTGCTGTAGGATCCCTGGCAGCGAAAGGCAGTGGGCAGGGGGTCCCAAGAGCAGCCAGTCCTAGGTAGGGACTGTGTATGAGACCATGCCACAGGTCTCTGAGGTGGCTGGTCCCTGGAGGCAAGCCATGTGACCGTGGCAGCAGGCAAGAGACAGATGGAGGCATGCCATGCAGTGAGGTTGGGAGGTTGGCTATTTATTCAGGGGGTTATGAAAGGGAGGGGAGAAGGGGAGAAGGAGAGAGAGAGAGAGAGAGAGAGAGAGAGAGAGAGAGAGAGAGAGAGAGAGAGAGAAGGGAGAGACCGAAGCTGCCTCTCTGAGAGATGGAAAAAAGAGGGACTCTGGCTGGAAGCTGAAGATCAGCCTGCCTCAGCGAATGGGGGAGGGAGTGGGCATGGCTTGTCTCTCATAGAGACAGAATAAATAATTACACCTGGTATATTTTAGTGTATGTTTCTTTGATGATTTGGCTGTGGATATGCATGTAGGTCTATGTGTGGGGGGATCTCTTGTCATTCTTTCCACTGTTGCCTGTGGATCAGGATGTAAAGCGCTCAGCTACTGATCCAGTGCCATGCCTGTCTGCTTCCCATAATGATGATAACAGACTCACCTGAAACTGTAAGCAAGCCCCCAGTTAAGTGCTTCTTTTTATAAGAGTTGCCTTGGTCAGGGTGTCTCTTCACAGCCATAAAACAGTAACCCAAACAGAAGATGGTATCAGGAGTGGGGTATTGATGTGACAGGCCTGACCACGGTGTGATTTGGAGGAATACAGAAGTTTTTGGAACTTTGGGCTAGAAAAGTGGTTGGGAGCTTTAAGTGTGACCTAATGGGATATCCTAGTAAGATCATGGTAGACAGTGGTGCTGAGAGCAATGTGGAATGTGAGGGGCCAGCCCAAGAGATTTCAGAGAGGAAGAATATGGCTGGCCTAAAGGTCGTTCTTGTGAGATCAGGCAAAGAATGTGGTTGCTTTTTTGCCCCAGGCCTAAAAATCTGCCTGAGGCAAAATGGAAGAGTTTTGGATTACTGGCTTTGGGATTTCAAGATAGCTTAGCATTGACTGTGTCGTGCAGTTATTAATGATTACTATTATGCAGAGCTACAATGAAAAAGAACAATCAGAGATAAAAGAATACAAGATGTACAGTTTGAGGGAAAAAGGAGCACCAGGAATAGTGATTCTGCCTCAGAAAGGACAAAAACCAAACAGTTCTGGCACGGGGCCTTTAATCCCAGCAGATCTCTGTGAGTTCAAGGCCAGCCTGGTCTATGTAGTGAGTTCTAGGACAGCCTAGGCTCCACAGTGAGACCCTGTCAAAAAAAAAAAAAAAATTAACAAAGAACACCTGGGAAGTGTTGGAGCCAAATCCTGTGCACTAGGAGATACCAGATTTAAAGAAAAGTCTAAAGCTAAACAAAACAAAGGGAGTGGTAGCCTCAGGGCAAGACCCCACCCAACTGAGCTTCCAACTTGTGAAAATGAGTTAAACCAAAGCTTGAGTCAAAGAGCAAACCAGCAACAATAGAAAGCTTATGCAAATGCAAGTCAGGGAGGAGCCCCAGCAAGCAGAAGAATTTGGCTGTTTCAACCAGGTGGTTCTGGTTTTATCAAGAAAGATACAGGAAAGGAGTTAGAGACTCATCTACCCCCATGGTTAAGAAAAGCAGCTGAAGCTAGGTGTTTGGCAAGACAGACTTAAAATGGAAGGAGAGAGAGAGAGAGAGAGAGAGAGAGAGAGAGAGAGAGAGAGAGAGAGAGAGAGAGAGATTGTAGTGTTGCAGGAAGCAAAACTGCTGGAAAGAGGCGGAGTTCTGGAGAGAGCATTTTGACATTGGAACTGGAGATGCAGAATTTGGAGTTTGTCCTGCTGGGTTTTGTTCCTGCTTTGGTCTAGTGTTTCTTCACTATGTTCCCCTTCCTATCTTTTGGAATGGTAATGTATATTATGTGCCATTGTATGTTGAAAATATGTGGTCTGCTTTTTTTTTTTTTTTAACCCAAGATAAGGTTTCTCTGTGTAGCTCTGGCTGTCCTGAAATTCACTTTATTGATCAGTCTGACCTTGAACTCAGAGATCCACTTGCCTCTGCCTCTTGAGTGTTGGGATTAAAGATGTGTGCCACCATTGTCCAGTCTTTGGTCTACTTTTTTATTTTGAT